ACTTACTGCAATTCAAAATGTAGTCAAACAACCTTCAAGCGCTGTCCAAGATCTCTTTAAGTTATCTGTATCATACGACGAGCCTTCACATCCAAAGTCAGTGAAAATGCTGCATGGAAACCAGAAGTATTTTTAAGTAATTTATCTATCCTGTGAAAACAGAAAGAAGAGATGGAAGAATGACAACTAGTACAGGAAATGACCATATTTTTTTCTTTTTTTTCTAAATTGTTCGTGAAATTGGAATAGGCACATAAAGCTGAGGACATCCCCCCCACACCCCCCAGTCCCATTAATTTTATCCACATTTGTATATAAATATGAAAGGCCTGCAGAAAGAAAACACCCAAGAACATTTAATAGTTTCCTTGGCCTATGCACACTACTGAACTAAGTATCGGTGAAGTTTCAGTGCTTGAGGAAACATGATTTGGACAAAACTAGAATTAATTCCCAATTTTTAGATCAAAACTCATAATCTTCCTAATAAACTGAAAATAATGTGATATACAGAACAAGAAGTTAAATCTAAGACTGGGTTTATAAATACATACCTGCTCAGATGGAGGTATATCTTTACATACATATGTACACAGAAGGAGCAGTGTATGATTTAGAAATGCTATATAACCTGGCCTGTGTTTTACTATACAGTAATTGGTCAAACTGGTGGCTTACCTCTCATGTTCTACCATTATTAAGATAAAAGAAACAAGAACCACCAAGCAACCTAACAATGTGAAAATCTCTAAGTGTTACAACAGAAGTATCCCTAATTTTACATTGAGGCATTAAACCTACTGGCAAAAGTAATAATCAAAGAAGCATGGAGAAATCAAGGGATCAGTTCCTCAATTAACTTACATTACTGGAGCTCAAATTAAGTCAATATTGAACACTGGATTTACACCATCAGAATACCTGATGACAGCTTTTGACAGAGCCTTCCAGTGTGTCATTCAAGCTAACATCATTACCACAAGAATTAATCTAAGGCTCTTTGAAGAATCTAGATTTGTAGCACTGAAAGTATTTTTCCTCTTCTTTGTTATCATGACTTCACTGCAACTCATCTCAGTAACAGAAAGGCTCTTCACTGATATTTCAGAGACTGAACAACTTGCCTTACTCCTCCAGCACAACTGTCACTCAAAATCACAGAATCACAGACTGACTAAGGTTGGAAAGAGCCACAATGGATCATCTGGTTCAACCCTTCAGGGTCGTCCCAGAGCACATGGCACAGGGATATATGCAGACAGGTGTGGAATATCTCCAGCTCTGGGCAACCTGTTCAGTGCACGATCACCTGCAGAGTAAAGAAGTTCTTCCTCACGTTCAGGTGGAACTTCTGTGCACCAGTATCTGTATCTATCTATCTTCTGTGCAGCAGTATCTGCCCGCTGCCTCTTGTCTCATGGCTCGGCACCACGGGGCAGAGCCTGGACCCATACTCTCGGCACTCGCTTTAGACTCTCACTGATGAGGCCGGCTGCAGGGGAGCAGCACTGCACGTACACGCTCTTCAACAACTCTTAAACCAGCCCACGAGTACCCGAGCCGCGGAGCGCCAGCTCACACCCCCAGCCCCGCGCTGTGCCCCCCGAGCCCTCCCGGGG